CTCAGCATTTGCGTGGGTCTCCATGTAATTTCTCCAGCTCCAGGGCTCTAGCATAGCTCCATGTGTCTTGTCAACAGGAATGTCTCTCAGGGAGTGTATCTGTGTCCCGCCTCCAGCGAGCAATTTATCCCTGTGATGCCTTCAAATGAGGTCATCAGCTGTGACCTGGCTGACAGGCTAGACTCTACCCCTCCACAAATTGACACCAGATTATGTAACTACCAAACTGAAGCAGGAAGTAGATGCCAGGGTCTACTTACTCTGTTGGCAATTCCTTGCTGCCCCCCGGGAGCATGGACCCCTTATAGGAATGCAAAGCCATTGCAGGGAAAAATCATGGCTCCCCCTGGAAAAATTTCTAGGCTTGCTACATTATTTTTGAGGACAGGAAATTAAGCAATTATCCATGCTCCATTTCTAGGGGGAACTTAGCAATGAAGGAAAATGCCATCAATAGACCAAATGTCCTGAATGGCTTATTTTTATACAGAAATCACTATGGTGAATCAGTCTGCTTTATATCCCAGTGGAAGGGAAGACTTGTCTAGGGAAAGAGCAACCTCAAGTCTCTGACACCCCTAGTGAATTAATACTAGAAGTCACCCCTAGCGAATTAATACTAAAAGTCTCGTGTTAGAGTCTTTTCCAATAATAAGAAAATCCTAAAATAATCCTGTAAAGGAGGTATAGAAGGAATTGCATGATCTCCAAATTATAAATGAATAAATGTTCACAATTTAGTGGGAATTACTTGCAATAAATGACAGAAGTAGGCCTGACTTCCGAATAAGAGTTGCTAATGCACATTATTAGGAGTCCTGCTGGCACCAGGTAAGTGTAGGACTGTTCCCCACAAGTGTAGTGGTTCAAACCCACCAGTCATTCCAGGGGAGAGGCAATCTGCTCTTAAAAACACGTGGAACCACAGGAATCCTGTAAAGGGTTGCTATGAGTTGGAATAGACTTGATGGTGGTGGGGTCCCTCTTTTTCTTTAATTACAAGATCCTTTTATTTGGGGCTCTTACAACTCTTTTTGAAAAAGTCATTTTATTAGGGACTCATACAACTCTTAACACAATCCATGCATACATCAATTGTGTTAAGCGCATTTGTACATTCATTGCCCTCATCATTCTCAAAACATTTGCTCTCCACTTAAGCCCCTGGCATCAGCTCCTCATTTCGCCCCCCCCTCCCTGCTCACCCTTCCTCACGGGGGCTCTTACAACTCTTATAACAATCCATACATCAAGAACATTTGTACATATGTTGCCATCATTGTTTTCTAGACATTTACTTTCTATTGAGCCCTTGGTATCAGCTCCTCCACACCCCCACTCCCCATAACCCCTTGATAAATTATAAATTATTATTATTTTCGTATCTTACACCAAATGCTGTCTCCCTTCTCCCCCCCCCCAAGGTTTCTGTTGTTCGTTCCCCTGGAGGGGTGTGTGTGTGGTTATGTGTCGATCATTGTGTTATTAAGGTCTTATTAATTAAGCTGGGTCAACACTTTACATGGACTATATTGGGCTTAATATTTCCAACTAGCCTGTTTTCATAATAGTTGGTATTTACTACTATTACTATGTCTTTTTATAAAAGAGGAAACTGAGGCTCAAAGAACAAATAATTGTCCCCAAATTATATCGCTAACAAGTGGTGAACTACTACTAATTGTGTACTACTAAATGTCTTACTCTAGAGCCTATGTATTAAATACTGCGTTTTAAATATTTAAATATAGAGGCATAGTGGTTAAACATTGGGCTGCCAACGGCACAGTCAGCAGTTTGATGCCACTAGCCACTTCACTGGAAAAGACAGGGCTTTCTAGTCCTGTGAAGAGTCAGTTTCAGAAACCCACAGGAGCAGCTCTACCCTGTCCTACAGGGCATGAGTTGGCACTGACTCAACGGCAATACGTTGATTTGTTTTGTTTATGTTACACTGCCCATTAGGGTCCTCAACTCCGCTTCTTCCAGAGGAATCTTCAGGTGAAGTACTGAAGAGGTCTGGCACTGCTTCCTTTAGCTCGGCTGACCAGCCTTTGTTAAGTCCCTGCACTTTCCAGCTCTAGGCTGAACTAGTACTAATAAAGTGAATCAGTGCTCTTATTCCTCTTCCCATAGAGAAAAATCTGTCTTGGAATTAATATAGCCACAGTGCTCCTAAGAAGCTAGGATGGTGCAACTTCATTGCACGTACTTTGGACATGTTATCGGGAGAGACCAGTCCCTGGAAGAAGGCACATGCTTAGTAAAATATAGGGGCAGCTAAAAAAAAAAAGAGGAAAACCTTCAATGAGATGGATTAATACACTGGCTACAACAATGGGGGGCTTAGGCATTGGAACAATTGTCACAGGACCAGGCAGTGTTGGGTTCTGTTGTGCTTAAAGTTGTTATGAGTCAGACAGATTTGATAGCACCCAGCAACTTCCGGGAGGTGGCCTATGAGGAAGAACCAATGGTGCTGAAGGAAGAACTTCAGCTGCACTGAAGGCATCAGCCAAAAACAAGACCTTAGGAATTGACGGAATACCCACTGAAATGTTTCAAAAAGCTGAAGGAACACTGGAAGCACTCACTCATCTATGCTGGGACATTTGGAAGACAGCTACCGGGAGAACTGATTGGAAGAGATCCATATTTGTGCCCATTCCGGAAAAAAAAAAAAAAAAAGGTGACCCTAACAGAATGCTCAAACTATAGAATGATAATGATATTGCACACAAGAGAAATTTTGCTTATGATCATCCAACAACTGTTACAGCAGCCCATTGACAGGGATTCAGAAGAGGATGTGGCCCAAGCGGTATCACTGCTAATGCCAGATGGATCTTGACTCACAGCAGAGAATACCAGAGAGATGTTTACTTGTGTTTCATTGATTATGAAAATGCATTCGACTATGTAGACCTTAATAAACTGGATAAACTTGAGAAGAAGGGGAATTCCAGGACACTTCATCCTGCTCATTCAGAACTTGTCCATAAATCAAGAGGCAGTTGTGAGAACAGAACAAGAGAATACTGAGTAGTTTAAAATCAGGAAAGGTGTGTGAGTCAGGGTAGTATCCTTTCACCACATTTGTTCAATCTATATGCTGAGAAAATCATCAGAGAAGCTAGATTATATGAAGAAGAACTTGGCATAAGGATTGGAGGAAGGCTTATTAACAACCTGGTATATGCAGATGCCACCACCTTGCTTGCTTAAAGTGAGGAGGAATTGAAGCACTTGCTGATGAAGATCAAGGATTATAGCCTTCAGTATGGATTACAACTCAATGTAAGGAAGACCCAAATCCTCATAGCTGTTAACCAATAGTTAACATCATGATAAATGGAGAAGAGTTTGAAGTTGTCAAGGATTTTGTCTTACTCGAATCCATAATCAATTCTCATGGGAGCAGCAGACAAGAGATCAAAAGATGCATTTCACCAGGTAAATCTACTGCCCGAGACATCTTTAGAGGACTGACGAGCAAGGATGTACTTTGAGGACTAAAGTGCACCTGACCCAAGCTGTTGGTATTCTCCACTGCCTCCTATGTGTGTGAAAGTTGGACGTTGAATACGGAAAACCATAGAGGAATAGACGCATTTGAGTTGTGGTGCTGGAGATGACTACTGAAAGTACTAAAAGGACAAACCAATCTTGATTGGAAGAAGTAAGGCCAGAGGGCTCCTTTGAGGCAAGGATGACCAGACTTCGTTTCACCTACTTTGGTCAGATTGTCAGGAGGGACCAGTCTCTGGGGAAGGACATCATGCTTGGCAAAGTGCAGGGGAGGCAAAAAAGAGGAAGGCCCTGGATGGGGCGGATGAGCACAGTGGCCGCATGAACGGGCTCAGGCACAGGCACGATTGTGAGGGTGGTGCAGAGCGCGCAGGGTTTGGTTTTCTTGTGCATAGGGTTGCTGTGGGGCAGAGCTGACTAGCTGGTACCTAACAACAACTTATGCAGTAAGATATGATTTCTTAGACTAAGAGGAGATTCCCAGGCCCTCTAAATCCTTGTCAAAATCATCCACAAGGTTACTAGAATCAGCAGTAGCATTGGGCTCATTCCCTTTAACGTCTGATTGCCCCGAGCCCACATCGTTCCCTAGAAAACATGAACTTGCTGAGGGCCAGAGCGCTGAGACCCCTTACTCCTTTTGAACTGGTTCTTCAGCTCTTCCAGAGTTTTGTCTGCTTTTTCCTACAGAGAGTGGAGAGAGGGGAAAGGCTTTGTGGTATGCCGACAGGACAGTCAGTCTGTAGGACTGCCACATGGCTGCACAGGCTCTGGGTCACGTTAGAAATGCAGTATTACTTTGAAGAACAGCACACACAGGCTCTGACTGGTTGCCTAAAATGGTTCAGCAAGGGGAAAAGAGAGGCCAGGTCCCTCCTGCTAAGAGGTATTTGCCATAAGGCGACTACTGAGAGTCATTTCCACATTCAGGAGAGGCTTGCAGATGGTTTCTTCCATGGAAACCTCCTATGGACTTCTTATGTACCATCTGAAAGGTTCGTATTATATACACAATTCTTGTATCAAAGCCTGTAGATTACATGGGTGATCTTGTTTACTTTAAAACCAAAAACGAATTTCCATGGAGGAGATCCGGACCTCATGTGCATCCATCCAGAGTTGTTCATGGTTCTTCAATCTTCAACAGTAGATTGCCATCTTGATGAACTCAAACCACCGAATGTTCAGTTAGAAGCTGAGAGCATTAAAAGTTTGAACTCCCCAGGGACTCCTTGTTTCCGCTAATGGTTAGAATCCTAAACATCAGTTCTTCGCACACGCGTCACCCTTGCACGCTGAGTGTGGCGGCTTTGAGTACAGACCCACAGCTCCAGACATAGAGGAGACACCGATTCCCCACCCCACCCTGCCCCCTTGCAGGGCCTACAGAAAGTTCTAACAACACATTTTGTTGGGGGCCAGAGGGTGTGTGGTACCTCCCATTTGAGAATCAAGGATGAAGGGCATCTTACCGCGTTCTCCTTCAGTTGTAGCCCTTCCCCGTTGGGAAGGGAGGACCGTCTCTTGGATGAGTTCTTGTTTGGAGTTGAGGTAATGGTGCCTGCTTTCTTCTTCACCATGAGCACCTCACAGCTGGCTTGGTCTTCATTGTGTGTGCTCTTCCCAGCATTGATAACCCTGGAGAAGAAGCCAGAAGAGCTGATCAGAGGGGGTTTTCAGAAAGCCGAGAGCCGTATGGGCTGCCTCAAAGATTAGCCAAAGCAGTCGCCACTGCTGTTGTCAATTCTGATTCATGGCAACCCCATGCAGGCAGAACAGAACTGCCAATCTTTTGGGTCAGGAGTCAAGTCTTAATCCTGAGCACTGCTCTATGCTAAAGAACTGTGGGCATTTGGTCTTTTATATCCCTGGACAAACAGGTTGTTCCCTTTTAAAAAACATAAATGGAATTATATTAGTACACATTAAAAATTCTACAAAAACCCATGGCCAGAGGGTTGGTTTGATTCACAGTGACCCTCAGTCACCAAGGCTCCAAGGCAGTAATAAAGAGCAGACGGCAAAACTCAAGCAGATAGAAAACTACATTTCCTGACGGCCATGTCCACTTTTACTTCACTAAAAATCTCCCTGCCATGGAGTCAATGTTGACTCATAACGACCCCCACCCCCACCCTATGGGTTTCGGAGACTGTAACTGTTTTCAGGAACAGAAAGTCCCATTGTTTTCCCAAGGAGCTGCTGGTGGGTTTGAACTGCTGACCTTAAGGATTGCAAGTTAATGCATAACCACTACGCCACTAGAGGGAAGCAGAGAGATCAGAGGCTAGCTGTACACCTTTTTTAGGTAATCTTTCTATCCTTGACGGTAACCCCTGTAAACTATTGTAATGGATTGTCACACTGGCTTATGGGGCACTCTGATTTGAACACCCAGCTGCACAAAAAAGATGTGACATACTGCAACTGCTCCCGGCTAACTTCTAAATGTCTTTAGTAATAAAAATAGGATTTAATACACTTAAAAAGAAATACTTTAGGAAAAGAGGCCACACCACTCACACATCTTATTCTGCACCAGGTGAAACGGCAGCAAAAACCAGATTTCCTAAAAGGGAGCTCTTGTTGGCCTGCCAGGGGCTGTGTGTTCTTTCCTACACTTTCAGTGTCAGAGTGGGTGACAGTGAGTGTGGGATATATAAACTCAGTGACAAGGAAAGGAAGGGTGCTTTTTAAAATTATTACTAAGGTAAGATAACTGGGACCCCCCTCTAGGAATGTGTTATGTGCCCAGCTCCATGAGCCTGGCTGCACGCCTTCTAAACAGTTAAATAAAAGATAATTTTTTATCATACTTAGATTACCATTTTTCAAGCTTAAAAAAATAATTATAGACTCCTATTAAGTTGCCTAACTGTGCAATCACATGTGCCCTTCACCCAGTCCCCCCGACTGTAACATAGTACCTAACCAGTGCACACCATCTATACAGACAACCATACTTCAGACCTTATTCAGATTTTACCAGTTCTTAAGTAGACTGGCTTTAGTATGGACAATTATATAGCTATCCTCAAGCTAGCACACACATGTCACAGCCAGTAGGAATTTGAGAGAGAGAGAGAAAAAAGATAGCTGGATGTTTTAGGATCTAAGAGCGTATGTTTCCAACATAGACCCCTGGGATTCTATGGAGTGTCTCAAACATTTGAATATTTAGGGCTTTTTATATAGTTTTATTTATAATTACATAGTAATTATAAATGTTAAGTACCACACTGATGAAAAACATTGTTTTGTTGAAAAGGCCGTACATTTAAAAGGAAAAATCCTTAAAACTTCAAGGCGATGAATCAATATCAAACTTTTATGAAAAAACAAACAAACCAAAAAACCCAACAATTTACGCATGGGGGGAAAAAAACTAATGAAATGTCATTTAACAACAGCATACTTGAATCAAAATCTTTAATATAATAAACAAAACAGTCCATATATACATATATATCAATATTGAGTTTTATTTTTTACATTTTATACATTACATTAGTAAGTTAAAAAAATCCATTTACATGTGAGCAGTATTTACCAGGAGGTTTCAAAAAGTCTGTGGAAAAATGGAATGGAAAGATAAAGAAAATTTTCCATGAACTTTTTGAAGCCTGCTTGCGTGCTTAGCACATGAATCTGGGGCAGTTTTGGAATTACTTCATTGCAGGAACTGTTCTAAAAGGAAAAGACTGCCATTTTCAATGACAGTTGACCCTTACACAACACTGGCTTGAATTTCATGGGTCCCATTTATATATGTGGATTTTTAACACCGAGGTTTTTCTGGTAGTGCTATTGATGCTAAAAGCACTTCAAGAAGCAGAGAAATCATGAAACAAGAAAATGCTGAATTGCTTGAATGTGTACCATAGAGACTGAGGCCTACAGCTGCAGTAGCCTGCTATTCCACGATAAATGAGC